ATTTCTCGATCATTTATAATCTAAAATAGCAATAATTTATTTTTCATAAAAAAAAAAATTTCATTTATTAAAAACAAATAAAATCTAAAACGTAACTTTTTTTTAGTTTCAATCCTTTTTTTTTTTCAAAAGGCAAAAAACTGTATTATTAAATTTTAAAATAAATTGAAAATTTTCAAGACTTTTCTTTTCCTTTTTCAATTAAAAAATATATCAAATTTTGTGCTAACAATTTTTTGATTCATTTAATTTTATCATATCAATTTAATGCTCCTTAATTATTCCAATAAATTAATTATTTTTGTTAAAATTATTGGCATAAAAAATTTTTGTTTTTTGGAAAAAATGTAAAAAAAAGTAAAATTTGAAATTTTTTTGAAAATGAACAAATTTTTGTTTTCTTTTTTTTTGGGATTATATTTGAATAATTTTTAAAATGAATGAAATTATTGTTGATTGTATTTAAAATTGCAAAACAAAATTAATTCGAAATAGTGATTTAATTCTTCGAATTTGAATTGAAGCTAATTTGAATTAAAACAGCTTTTGCAAAGAAAATTACAAAAAAGTAACGGAGAATATATTGATTTAATTTAACCTAATTAAATGAGAAAGTTTAATTAGTGAAATTTCTGGAATTTCCATCTGGAAATTTATATACTGTTGAATACTACTGTTTATATTATAATTAATTTAAAAAAAAAAAACTTCCTTCATTTCATTTGTAATGGCTTTGTGAATTTTCGGTCATTAATTAAATATTCATTAATTTTACCATTATTTTACACTTGCTGTTAAATTTGAATTCAACTCACCAAAATTGAAATCATCAAATTCGAATTAATCTATTAAAATTAAATTTTGTATTAATTTTTATTGCTGACATTTCAACTTTTGTGCATATATTTTTGTTCATATATTTCATAATCCATATATTTTGCTAATGTTATGATTAAAATAATTAATTAAAAATTCGATTTCTACCCTGTAACATAGATTTGGCAAATTTTATTTCACTTCAAATTCAAATGTAATTTATTGAATTAAATTCAATTTACAATTCAGTATACGGTGGGATACATTCTAAAAATGTTATAAGAAAAAAAAAAAATTAGATTGGATGCTCAATTAGCGAATCGGCAAACTATTAGCATACCGTAGTAATAATGAAGCAACCTATATCACTTTTAATTTATACATTTTATGCATTAATTTTTAGAAATATTTTTTTTAAAAAAAAAGAATTTTTTGTAATTAATTTGTTTATTTAAAAAATAAAACATGAAATGCACCTTAAATTTGAATAATGCGGGAATTAAAATATTATATTAAAATATTAAATTACTTAATTATCATTATAAATATATGCACCAAATCAAGAAACAAACCAAATTGTCGATAACTAGATTGTTGGATAAGTTCAATCCATTGTTGTGACCATAATTTTTGCTGATTATGACAGATATCATTATCATTGAAACCCATAATGAATGGATTTGCTGATGCCATCTATAAAATGAATTTGGAATATTTGAAATCAAAATTTGAAATAAATTTGAATATTAAAAATGAGCCAAAAAATTTTTGTTGGAAATTGAAATATTGCCATGAATTTATGATAAAATATTTAATTTGAAATAGAAATGTTTTGTTGTTTTTTTTTTCCTTTTTCTTTTTGAATTATGATAAAACGAATAAACAACATTAAAATATAAATATTTAGAATTCCACAAAAATATTTGTATGTCGAATGCATTCAACTAATTTAATTTAGCACATCATCAATTTCGTAATTTTAATTAATTAATGAATTTTGTAAATGACATTTTTTAAAATTTCATTAATGAATGCAAAATATATAAAAGTGCATAAATATTTCATGCGTTAGAATAGAGAATGTATTATTTCTTTTGAAAAAATTTTAAATTTAAAAGTGTTAAACTTTTTAACTGCCATCTTTTTGGTGACATTTTCTTTTTTTCCTAATATTATACGATTTAATATAGCATTTGATTATCATTATCATTATTATCGTATATGGTAGATGGAAAAAAAAAAGAAAGGAAATGAAAGATAACATTTGTAAACATTAGAGAAGGTGTGATAATATTATAAATTAAATAAACAAACATGAGTTTTGTTCTTGTAATTTGAATAATTAAAATTAACCGATTATCCAATTTGAATATTGTATTATTCCATTTATTTAACAATATCTTTTAATGTTATTCAAAAAGAAGAGAAAAATACAAAAAATGCAAAAATAAACTTTTTATGCTAAAATTGAAATTTTATCACTATCAATTATCACTTGTTTATTAACATTTTAATAAAACATATCAATGGAGCTATTTTAAACATTGATATGCAACCTAAAAAGATAACAAATAAAATTTAATTTTAATACTATTCTAAAATAGATATGTCCAATCGATATTAATTATTTACTTATATTTTATCGTTTTTTTCAATAAATTAAATAATCGAAAACTTTTACAGTAATTATTAATAAAGACTTTTTTTTAAAAAATCTTTAATTATTATAATTTCTTTTATAGTATTTGTGTTAAAATTAAATTATCAAAAAATTAATTTAATTTATAAATGTGAAATGAAAAAGAGGAAAAAAAAGGAATTAAATATGATGAAAGCAAGAAAATGACCTGAACATGTGGAAGTAATACATCAAAATATGATAGCGTTTGTGGTATCGGTGCTGATAAGCATACAATTGGATAACATGATGTTGATGAAGTCGAATTATCATCAGTAGTGATAATATTATTATTACTATCACTATTATTACTATTGTTATTATTGTTATTATTATTACTATTATTATTATTTTTACTTTTATTATTATTATTATTATTATTATTATTATTATTATTATTATTATTATTATTATTATTATTATTATTATTATTATTATTATTATTATCATTATTATTATTACTATTATTATTATTATTATAATTATTATTAATACGACAACTGCTTGTTGTGACACTTTGATAATCAGATTTATAACTTTCATTGGGAATTATATTTGGTACAAGATATTCTCGACTTGTTCCCGGTATGCATTCAGTTGGATTTTCAATCAAATATTCCTGCTTCTGGCATTCGATTGATTTTACATCCAAAATTTCTTGATTAACTGTAGAAGTTTTAATTGGAACAAATGGTAGTTTATCAGAAGTAGCAGTAAATATCGGTGAATTATCATTCTTATCAGGTGATAATATTTTCGAATGTGAAATAATATCAGCTTGAAATATTTGGCCTGAACTAGGCTTGCTAGAATATACTTCTTTTGTTTGCCATTGTTGTTGTTGTAGCAGTTGTTGTTGCTGCTGTTGTTCTTGTTGTTGTAGCAGCAGTTGTTGTTGTTGCTGTTGATGGTGATGATTGTGACGATAATGATGATGTTGATGATAATGATGATAATGATGATGATGATGATGATGATGATAACGATTACTAATTAAATTTTCCACCGAAAAATTTAATGATGAAGGCATAATAGTAATTAGTTAATATTTATTAAAAAAAATTCTCTTCCAAATAAATTATGCAAATTTTTATTTCTTCCTTTTCTTTTTTTCGTTTATTTCTTCAAAATTATGCCAAATCAATATATTTCTCGTTTTTTTTTCTCTTCCTTTTTTTCTTGTTCGTTGTTTCGTCAACAAAACAAAAAAAAAATTGTTTTAATAATTATTATTTAATCTTTTCTTTTTCATCATACAATAAGGATACTGATGAAATAATTCTTCTTCGTCTTCTTCTCCTTCTTCTCCTTCTTCTCCTTCTCCTTCTTCTTTTCTTCTTCTTTGTCTTCTTTTTTGATAAACATTTCCATAAATTAGCTGCACAAATATTTTCTCATACAATAAGAAACGAACAATTAAAACAATAATTAATAATTAGCAAAATTTTTTCAATAATTCTAAATATTGCTAAACAAATAAATTTTGTTTAGTTTACTTAAAAAATAAAAAAAATAGAAAAAAAAATCTTTCTAACAAATAAAACTTGTTGATGATGATATTTACCAGATCAATAAGATTGAAAATTGAATGTCTTCTAAAGGCGGAGCATTATTTCATACTTTTTCAAGAGTGAAATAAATGGGTGTGGAATAATCCAATTGCTATCTATCTATCCAATTGCTATCTATCTATCTATCTATCTATCTATCTATCTATCTATCTATCTATCTATCTATCTATCTAATTCATCCATCTACCAATCATCATTACTGAAGATTTTCACGATACAGCTCTAGAGTTCAA